CATTTATCTGGAACATATTCTGTCAAGCCAATAAATATAAAACGTCCTGCCATACCAGGTGCCGACTCCGACCAGCAGGGGGAGCCAGTGAGGCGGAAGGATGTAAAGCTGCCTGTAGCAGCTGCTGGTTTCCTGAAGTCTGAGCGGATCCTCTGCAGAGAGTCGGTGGGCTTTAAGTGCCTTATTGTTCCGATGATGAACCCAGTTTATTAAAAAACGGAACCAGCTCCGAACAGAGAAGTTCTGTGTGAGTATCAGCCTGCTTCTGGGTCTGGTTCTGGGTCTGGTTCTGGTGGGTGAAACTTTTCTGCATGCTCTGATCCGGATTTATTCTGCTGAGTTCTGCCTGGAAGGTTCTGAGATCCAGAACCTTTTAGCTGCTTTCGGTTCGGTTCTGGGATTTCTGATGTTTCTGGAGGATTCAGAAGGTTCTGATGGATCAGCTGACACTGAGATCCTGTTTATCTCTAAAGCTGCAAAAAGCAGAGAGATAAGAAGCTGTTAGACCTTCACTGATCCTGGTTCTGGTCCTGAACTGGACCTGCTCCCAGAACCCAGTTTGGAGACACTGAGACACACTTCATATTCTGATGGCATTTTAGTGAAAGGATTTTTATCAAAAACATAAGTTTTTTTTTTGTTTTTTTTTGAACAAAGACTTTATTTTATCAGATCAATATTTAATATCAATGATTCCTACAATTAGAAACAACAATTTCAATACAACCATAAAAAAAAAATGGGTAACAACAACCAAACAGGTCGGCGAGCTGAAGATCCATGTTTTTTTTTCCTTTTTCTTTTTCTTCTTTATCATTATTATATATATATTTTTATTTTATTTTATTTTTTTTACTTGGAGGATGAGACAAAGGAAAGATCTTTCTCGAGTGACTTTTATTTTTATCATAACAGAGATATATGTTAAATATGCCTATAAAATATGTACCTGTGTGTTTACATTTATCTAACTACCGTAATAACTGAAAATATGTCTTCAAAGGGTTCCATCTTTTTAATTTTGCTGTTATTTTCTCCATCATATAAACGTTCACTAGTTTCTCTTTCCATCGATTCACAGTAGGGGGTGAAGGTTTATACCAACATATTGTTATCGTTTTTTTGGCTACGAGAACAAGGATACCAAATAATTATTGCTCTTCTTTACTTAAATTATTTAGTCGAATTCCCAGAACGAAGATCCGGGGATTCCAATCAATATCAGCATGCAAGATATTTGAAATTTCCTAAATTTCTTAATCTTTGGGCAATCCCTAAAAACATGAGTCTGATCTCCAACTAGTGTCTCCAGCACAAGTTTGATTTAGTTTGATCAAATTTGGAAATAATGTACGGAGTTTTGAAATATCTAACAATTATTTTCCAATAAAATTCTTTCCATTTTGGACTGTTAGTATCAAAAACATAATTAATGTGCACAAATAATAAGGAATAGTTGTATTAACCATACATGGAAACAGAGTTTTATGGTATTTATTGGTAACATAAAAAAAAAATAATTATATTTTGATGGTAAAAATAAATGTAAATGTAAAAAACAAGAAAAGCCAACTTTCCTGAATATATTAAGAAAAATAACAAAAAAGCTTCTATAAGAAATTCATGAAAAACTCTCTGGGAGCGAAATAAACACATTTTATTTGGTCTAACATGACTTTAGAGGCATTAATGTTGATACTGGCTCTGACATTATTTAGTTTATAAACCTAAATATAATATATATAACTGTTTTTTTTTGTTTTTTTGAACAATGTTTTTATTAATTTCCAATAAGAACATACAAACACATGTTGACAAGCGTTACCGTGTTTGCATAATGAAAAGCCGGTCAACCTCATTGCACACTAGTATATAAAACAAAACAAAATATATATATATATATATAAATAAATAAAAAATTTATTTAAATTAATTCAAATTAAGATTTCAAAAAGTATATATATAAACCAATAAAAAACCTAAATATAAATGTTAACTAGACTCATTAACTTTTTCACTTTTCATTCAGATTTTTATCTTTTCTTCTCGACTTAAAATATTTTTCCAACTTAATTTCCAGTAGATAATCTATCATTCAAGGGTTCATCTAATTGGCTAAATGTGAAAATCAGACGTACAGCCATGTAGCAGGATCTTTGCTGAATGGATGGATATAGATCTAGTGCTTCTAGAGCTCACTGAGGGACGGGTGGGGATCCATTTTAAAGGGTATGCAAGTGATGAAAAACGGTAACTTGCCCTAAAAAAAGGGTTAAAATCAGAGTTTTTTTTAGATTTTTGTGCAGTCGTCTTTGGAAGAAGGAACCTCCACCCAGCGTTCCCAGTTTGGAGCCCCTTTCAGAGGCGGAGCTTCAGTCGGCGGCTGCAGGTTCTGCTGGTTCTTCCTGCAGAGTGTTTGTCAGTTGCTGTGAATGCAGCAGAGAACGGGTCTTTCCGGTTCCACAGACGGGATGGGAAAACGGGAAGAACTGTTTGAGTTTGTGGGCGTGTTCAGCAGGATGTCCTGGAGCGCTGAGGTCATCGGATCCGTTTGCTCACCTGGCCCGCCTCCACCTGCAGCCAACAGCAGCTCCAGACACCTGATTCTGTTTGGTGGCCATTTCCAAACCGACAGAACAGCATCAGGAGCGGCGCCCGTTCTCTGATTCTGATGACGATTAGCAGGGGCGGATTTAGGAAATGTGGGGCCCTAGGCAAAGACAGGCAGGGGGCCCTCTGAATTAAGAAGACACATCAAACAGACCCATTCTACAGATGTAGAAATGTTAATAGAATAGACATCCATTATCTGTTCTAGGTTGTGTCCCTCTCTTCTTGTCCCTTTTCTTCTTGTTTTCCTCTCTATGTTTTGTACTCAGCTGACTTTTCATGCTGTCTCTAAAGGAATGAAAGATTTTTTCCAAGCACTAAGCTCACTTAGCTGATTGCTCCTTCCTGTGTTTCCAAAAAGGCCAAAGTAAATAACCCAGTCCTTCTTTTCACTGTAGACAAGCCATGATCTGCTTATCTGTTCTCCATTTTTCATTTGGATGAAATAATAGCTGCATGAATCATGACAGCAGACAAGATAGAGGAGAGCAGGAGGCGGGGTTACCAATCTACTCGCTCTGGAGAGCAGAGTTCGCTGCTTTTAGATGTTGTCTCCAAAGTCTCCAGGAGCAGAAAAAAGTCTCTAGATTTGGCGCTAGGAGCTTTTTAGAAATCAAAGTGCTA